TAGTGTATTTCCTGAAAGTTCATCCTCTCAGGTCTCTATGATCAGCCTGCATTACATGAGAACTTGCAGATGTGTCCATTAAACCAGCATTTCTCAACTTGTGGGTCACAAGAATATACAAAAGGGTTGCGAACAAACTTTAAACATGGATCAAGGCAGACAAGGTTCTTTGGGTAGATGTGATACCTTTTATTAGACTAACTAAATAGTTGGAAAAAAGTTCTTTGCAAGCTTTTGGGCACAAACACCCTTCTTCAGGCACTGGGAGACTCTACCAACAACTGTGCAAAATTGGATCAACAGACTTTAAAAATGGATTCTCTTTTAAAGGAGAAAAACGTGGGGGATTGTGCCTCCCCTCCATCCCACACACCCATCCCCTGCCCCACACACTGGGGGGCTGGGGCATGGGGGCAGCAGGTCAGGACTGGCCATCAACGTTTACAAATAGGTCCTGGTACAAAAAAAGTTGAAAACCATTGCATTAGACCATGGAATCAACAAACCATTCTGTTTTGGCTTTTGAATAATCTACACCTTAATTATTAAGGCTGATGGTCAAGAGACTCGAAGAATAAGCAGTTCCACTACTGGGCATGTCTAAAAATTCTCAGTCCCCTTATAACCTTAGAAGTTATTCCAGCCAATGTTGGGTATTTCCTATAGCTACATAGGTCACGTTCACATGAACAGGGGTGTGCATTTGCAGCAGCACAAATTTGTAGCGACACAGAGGTTTGTGACATCATAAACCGCGTGTGTATGTACATCTGGATCCACCATATTGTGTAAAATTAAATTGTCCAACTGAGACCAAAGTATTTGTTTTGGATATATTGGCAAGTTATTACTTGTCCTGTGAGATACTGTTATAGGTTCCCTGTAAGATTAGTAATGAATACAGGTGTAACATGAGCAGTCTTTTTCAAATCTAGCTTAATTTATTTAAATAAATTAGGCTGCCAGTGCTAAACAAAAGACAGGGTTTTTCAATGAGTATTAAGTAATTTTTCTCTATTTTTTGTACACCTTTCATATGTGCTGCACTGAATTAAAAACAATACCAAGTTAGCAGCAGATGAAGCAATGTTGGCAACATTAAACACATGTTTTAAGGGAGGTTTTTTATGAGATGTATTGTTAGTGAGGCTAAAAAATTTGTTTACATTGTTCCGTAAAACACACACAGTAGGCTGATTGTTTTAATAATGAGTTGCAGTATTTATAACAATGCTTAAATCTGAAGAACTGGGGAATCACAGCTCTTCAGCTGTGAGCTACAATAGTCATGGCAGAGGAACAAAGGTAGAGATGAAGATTGCAGGAGAGGTGAAACTGAAATAGTAGTATGTGTGAGGAATACAGCAGGGGTGGCAGGTGAAACTGAAGAGATGGGGAAAAATAAAGGGGAAAGTAGGAGGGAGAGGTGTTAAGGATATCAAAGTTATAGAAGGTTCCTAATGAAGGCTATACCTGTTAATTTTGATATCACAGCACCCTTGATTGTATGTTCTGTCACTGAACTCTGTATAACAGAATATACTAAATTTGACTGCTCTTTTTTCTTTTTTTGAAATGTCATAAGGGAAAATGGGATATGCATGATATTTTACAGTCATGCAACATGTTCTTGAAGTACAGGCAGTCCTCAGACCTATGACCCAATTGGTTCCTGAAAAAAACGCGTCTTAAGTTGAAATGTTGTAACTGAACCAATTTTCCTATAAGAAACAATGTTATAAATGGGGGATTGATTCCTGAACCAAGGCCCGATACCCTGTTTTCACCAAAAATAACCCAGAATTTTATACTTAATCAGTTATAGATGAGTAATATAACTACATTAATGTATTTATATTGTAAATAGCGATCATATTGATTTGGAAGAATTTTTTGAGGTGGCTTTGCTGGACTTTTTGAAGGGCTCTTAGCTGGAGTCTTCTCAGGAGTCTTGGCTGCAGGTTTTTGTGGAGTCTTGTCTGCTTTCTTAAAGAAAATGTCCAAGGAAGTTTGGACAGATGTTCTCCAGGGAGATGGGCGATGCAGCAAACTTGTCTGCTGGCGTGGCGTTGTGACAGATCAAACGTTGTCAGGTTGAAACTGACTTCAGAAAGTTGAAACAGGGTGTCAATTTCTAAACGTTGTAAGTGCGAAATGTTGTAACTTGAAATGTAACTCGAGGACTGCCTGTATTTATTACCTAAGTTGGATAAAGAACACAAGGGAAAGTGGCAATAGATCATGAGGATGAGGAAAAGAGATTAAAAAAAAACAACAAAGAGAAAGATAGTGTTTATAAGTGAGATACCATTTTTAAGACTCCTGGCTATTTTTTGTCTAGTTTAATCGCTCTTAAAAATAAAATACTCCTCATTAAGCTTGAGTGTGGTAACAGAAAGCTGTACGTGACGATTAGTAGAAGGCTAATCAGAAGAGATTAAATTTGAGAGGGGATTTGAAGATTAAAATATATTTGCTGCTAGTTTGTTACAGAGGAAGAGGCTACTCCCTCTAGGAAAGAAAGACAGCACTGAGTTGATGTTCATTTGCATTACAGTATGGGAGCCCTACTCATGGACCAGGACTTTCTGCCTACATTTCTGGCCTGTTGAGGTTTTGGTTTTGTTTAGAGGGGAATAATCAGGAGGTAGGACCCTGGGACTACTTTCTCTGCTGCAGCAAAAGAAATAAACAGAACATGGAGACAATAGAACCTTGGGGATGCCTCCTCTGCTGCTTTGGTTGGAGTGTGCGCCACAGGCCAGAACCATCTCTTCATGGGCTAGATCTGACCCCTGGGCCACAGGTTGCCAACATCCTGGATTAGATGTTTGTAGGACTGTAGTCTTCAGTTACAAAAGAAAAAACCTTCAGGGTTTCCTAAAATATCTATATATTCCACTTGTTAGAGGCATGAAAGGTCAATCACTTTAATCTCAGATATTGTTTAAAAGGGTTTAGGAATATATTAAACTTTGCTTATACCAGCTAGTATAGAACATGTAGCTAAAAATAAAGACTGCTATCTTAGGGCAGAGAGATCCTTCCTGTTTTGAACTTTTATAAGAAGATTAGAGACTGTAAGTCTGCCCCAGCTTTTTGCAGGCCTGTGCTGTAGTCTTACATAAAAGACTCTGAATTCATACCTTTTCACATCAGAGCACTTGCAGCCACCAAGACAAAAGTTTCCATAATCCAAAAAAAACAAAACAAAACCAAAAAAAGAGAAGCACTCAAAGTTCTTGTTTGTGTATGTGTCTGTCTGTTTGATTCAACTTGAGATATATGTATTAGGGCTGTGTGAAATTTCATCGGGTGTTTCGTTTCAAAGCTGTTTGGATGCGTTTTGAGCTTGAAACAACAAAATCAAAAGGAAACAAAGCCTTTGAAACAGCTTTGAAACGAAACAAGGGCACTCAAAACGTTTTGAAAGTTTCAAATGTTTTGAGTTTCGAAGCCGGGCTTACTTGGCTTCAGCGCCAGCCCCAGCCGACAGCAGTAGCCTTATGTCATCCAGCACAGATGTGGGGGCTGCACCTGTCTGGGAGGATTCTGGCACAGCCCCCAACCCTCCTGGGGGTGTGGGCTGCTGGACCTGCATGCTGGATGACAGCATGCTGTTGCTGCCAGCTGGGGCCAGCAGCAGCACCAATCTTCCTGGCACTCGGCACAGGCTGTGCCCCGCGCCAGTCCCAGCCGGCAGCAGCAGTGCTTTGTCATCAGGCAGGCAGGTCGGGGGTTCACCCGCACCTCCGGGAGGGCTGTGGGGTCTGTGCCAGACTCATCCTGGGGGTGCAGGCCCCCAGTCTGCCTGCCAGATGGCAGGAGGCTGGTTCTGCCACCTGGGGCCAGCAGCAGCACCAATCTTCCCAGTGCTGGGTACAGGCTGCACCCAGTGCTGGTCCCAGGTGGCAGCAGCAGCCTCCTGTCATCTGGCAAATGGATCAGGGGCCCACTCCCCCAGGATGAGTCCAGCACAGCCCCGCAGCCCTCCAGGGGGGTGTGAGCCTCTGGAACTGCCTGCCAAATCGCAGGAAGCTGCCACTGCCAGCAAGTGACAGGAGTTTTGCCTGTCAACAGCATGAGGTGCAGTTTCCCAGGAACCTCTGTACTTATCTCCTTGAAATTTGGCAGGCTACAATCCCTGCAAGTTTCATCCAAATCAGGGAAGAAATGACTAAGTTATAGGCAGTTTCATGCTTCCCCATTGTAGCCTATGGGTGAAATGTCGAAACAGTTTCAACGAAATGAAACTCAAAATGAAACAGTGTTCCATCAAAACGGAAGTCAAAGCAGAACAGTGCTATTTCGCACAGCCCTAATAT